TAAAATCAGAATTGCCTCATATAAACTCGCAATTTATATTTATTAGACATAAAATCAGAATCGCGTGATATAAACTCGCAATTAATATTAATAAATATTATTTGCGAGTTAGACAAAGTAGTTAGACATAAAGTCAGAATCGCGTGATATAAACTCGCAATTAATATTTATTAGACAAAGTCATAATCGCATGCTATAAACTCGCAATTAATATTTATTAGACAAAGTCATAATCGCATGCTATAAACTCGCAATTAATATTTATTAGACAAAGTCATAATCGCATGCTATAAACTCGCAATTAATATTTATTAGACAAAGTCATAATCGCATGCTATAAACTCGCAATTAATATTTATTAGACAAAGTCATAATCGCATGCTATAAACTCGCAATTAATATTTATTAGACAAAGTCATAATCGCATGCTATAAACTCGCAATTAATATTTATTAGACAAAGTCATAATCGCATGCTATAAACTCGCAATTAATATTTATTAGACAAAGTCATAATCGCATGCTATAAACTCGCAATTAATATTTATTAGACAAAGTCATAATCGCATGCTATAAACTCGCAATTAATATTTATTAGACAAAGTCATAATCGCATGCTATAAACTCGCAATTAATATTTATTAGACAAAGTCATAATCGCATGCTATAAACTCGCAATTAATATTTATTAGACAAAGTCATAATCGCATGCTATAAACTCGCAATTAATATTTATTAGACAAAGTCATAATCGCATGCTATAAACTCGCAATTAATATTTATTAGACAAAGTCATAATCGCATGCTATAAACTCGCAATTAATATTTATTAGACAAAGTCATAATCGCATGCTATAAACTCGCAATTAATATTTATTAGACAAAGTCATAATCGCATGCTATAAACTCGCAATTAATATTTATTAGACAAAGTCATAATCGCATGCTATAAACTCGCAATTAATATTTATTAGACAAAGTCATAATCGCATGCTATAAACTCGCAATTAATATTTATTAGACAAAGTCATAATCGCATGCTATAAACTCGCAATTAATATTTATTAGACAAAGTCATAATCGCATGCTATAAACTCGCAATTAATATTTATTAGACAAAGTCATAATCGCATGCTATAAACTCGCAATTAATATTTATTAGACAAAGTCATAATCGCATGCTATAAACTCGCAATTAATATTTATTAGACAAAGTCATAATCGCATGCTATAAACTCGCAATTAATATTTATTAGACAAAGTCATAATCGCATGCTATAAACTCGCAATTAATATTTATTAGACAAAGTCATAATCGCATGCTATAAACTCGCAATTAATATTTATTAGACAAAGTCATAATCGCATGCTATAAACTCGCAATTAATATTTATTAGACAAAGTCATAATCGCATGCTATAAACTCGCAATTAATATTTATTAGACAAAGTCATAATCGCATGCTATAAACTCGCAATTAATATTTATTAGACAAAGTCATAATCGCATGCTATAAACTCGCAATTAATATTTATTAGACAAAGTCATAATCGCATGCTATAAACTCGCAATTAATATTTATTAGACAAAGTCATAATCGCATGCTATAAACTCGCAATTAATATTTATTAGACAAAGTCATAATCGCATGCTATAAACTCGCAATTAATATTTATTAGACATAAAGTCAGAATCGCGTGATATAAACTCGCAATTAATATTTATTAGACAAAGTCAGAATTGCATGATATAAACTCGCAATCAATATTTATTAGACATAAAATCAGAATCGCGTGATATAAACTCGCAATATTTATGAGACAAAGTCAGAATCGCGTGATATAAACTCGCAATTAATATTTATTAGACATAAAGTCAGAATTGCAAGAAAAAAGTTTTTTTTTTAGTTTTTATCTGGCAATTCTGACTTTATAACTCGCAATTGCGAGTTTATATCTTACAATTCTGTGAAAAAAGTCAGAATTGTGAGATAAAAAGTCGCAATAACCTTTTTTTTTTTTTTTTTTTTTTTTTCAGTGGTGGAAACGGCTTCCATACACTTGCATTAGCGTTAACTAGTTTTTTTTTGTTTTGTAATTTGATGCCAAGGTGATATAATACAAAGTATACTGTTATAAATGTACATACATTTAAAAAAAAAAATCTAAATATAAAGAAAAATGTTTTTAAGGATTTACGATGCTGATGACCATTGAAGCCTGTCATCACAGTCTTGTGAAAAGGGTCCATGGAAGTCAATGGTTACCTACCGTCAACCAGGGCAGGACTTAGGGGGCCGGGGGCCCCTGGGCTTGAGGTTATGTTTGGGCCCTGTATCTACACTACAAATGCCCTTAAATAGAACATCATTATGGAGTAACACAAAATACACAAACATATGCTTTGAGGTTCATAAATAGTACAATTAATATGCAACATGTCTAGGCTATAGTCAAAGTTTAAATGTAATATTAAATATTAATTATAATATAATAAACAGGATGTGTTCTCTCAGTTGAGAGATCAAAACCCTGAAATAGCTTTGAGCAAAAACAATTAAAATAAATAAAAAGAATTGTCATATCTGTGTCCTCTTATGTCAGGTTCTTATTTAATCAATAAATTCAATCGAATAAAAAGACATGCTGGCTATTAACAATCAAATGAAATCACTATCAACATAATTCATAGATGGATTGTGCATAAATGTTACGTTATAAAATTTTAATGTAGAAATATTAAATGATTGCAAAAATGAAATAAGCTACTTTTTTAAATATGAAACAACAACCGCCAGTAGGTGGCAGCTCTTAATGAGTGAGTTGAATCAACTGATTCGTTAAAAAAGCTGATTCATTTAACTTTGCAAACGACTGATTGAATC